CTAATCAAGGGAGCTATGTGAATATTGATAAAAACAACTTTGGACACAGGTGCAGAGACGAAACACAAAAGATGAATCTCAGCTACCCTACTAAACGCCCACAGAACCCTCCCCCCTCAGGCTATGGATGAGCTGGCGTTTGAAAGATTTGCGCGCTGTGTCATATGTGGCATCCGGAGGGAGGGTTCTGCAGGCGTGCAGCAGGGTAGCCGAGGTCGGTGAGATCCGTTGTTTGTGTTTGGAGCTTGCGGCAGGGGTCCGACGTTGCTTTTATCGATATTTGAAAGTTTGGTTCTAGGTAAGGCCGCTTGTTGACCAATCTTATAGAGTGTGCGGACATCGAAGCGACCAAGTGAAAACGGAAAATCAGCTTCAAAAATCCTGTAACTTCCGGCTATTTGACCTTGTTGGTAAAACGCTGAGTGATACTCGATGGGTGGCGTAAACATGTTGCGTTTTGGATTATTCGGGATCGAAATGACTGCGAAAACTACCGCGGGATCAATTTGACTCTGATCGTCCAGAAAGTGCCAGCCTCGGTCGTTCTTCGACGCCTGACTCCAAGAGAGATCAACGTCCATGAACAGCAAGCCGAATTCCGGCCTGGCCGTGGATGTATTGATCAACATTTCACGTTGCCCCAGGCCCTTGAGCTGCGTCACGCCCACCGCCAACCAACGATTGCAGTGTTTCTTGAGCTGAAAGGAGCCTTCGATTCAATTGACCGCGAAGCTCTGGTGGGTTTTGTTCTTCGAATTGGAATGCCCCAGAAGTACATTAACTTACTGAGGTCACTGTACTCACACCTCTGGTCGTGTAAGGATCTATGATGAACTAAATGGTCCACTCATCACCAACGGCGGCATTTGTCAAGGGTGCTCTCGCTAGCCATTCCTGTTCAATTTCGTCGTAGACAAAATACTGGAGAGCGCGCTAAGGGGACTCCAAAACGTAGGTATTGAATGGACAGCTGGAGAAAAGCTCTGCTGTACAGTGTACGCTGATGACGCCGTCTGTCTGTTCGAATTTACGGAGGACGCGGAAAGCACTTGATAGAGTAACGAGTGCAGTTGCCACATTTGGTGTGTTTTGCACCTTCAGCGTGCCAAGTGTTGCTACAGGACTGGGTTTCGCCTACTCCCTGTTTGAAACTAAACGACCAGGAATTAGTTACGGTGGATTGCTTATCTTACTTAGGTAGCTGCGTGACCAATGACGATACCGGAGCAAAATAAATAACCGCCCGCATTTCCAAGGCTCGAGCAGCATACGCAGGATTGAAACGCCTTTGGCGTAGACGCGACGTTTCACTGAAGTTGAAAGGTCGTGTATATTGTGCTAGCGTTCGTTCAGTTTTTCTTTATTGTTGTGAGGCCCTGAATTTGCGAGTAGAAGATATCCGTCGACTAGAAGTTTTCGATTATCGGTGTTTACGCAGTTTAGCCCATGTTGGATGGAGCGAACGGGTTAGTAACGTAGAGGTAAGCCGCCGTGCGTTTGGGAGTCTATCAGGGATAAACCTGCTAGCGTCGAATTCAGATTAGTAGACTTCGCTGGCCAGGACGCGTATTGTGTTTGTCCAGTTATCGTCTTCCACATCGCGCCTTATTCACTGTAGCGGCTCCGGGCTGGATGATACCATGTGGAGACAAGACATGAGGAATTGCACAGAACCATTCGGTAGAGTGGGTGTCTCTCATCTTCACAGTTGGGGTCCCAAAGACTCCGCAACTGGTCGGTCAGAGACATTGAAGAATATGGCAGCGAACCCGCAGCAGTGGCGTTTGTGGTGGTGGCGGCGCAGTGGTTTAGTCGCTGTCACCGGCGTGCTTTGGACCCTATGGTCCGAGGTTCGAGCCCCGCCACCGCTACCACACTTCGGTGGTAGGCAGCTCTGCTGTCGTCCGGTTCAATACCACGCCTAACCTACAGGGGCCTTATGTGGTTCGCTACTCCAAGTTCTGGGGCTTAGGTTGCCGATTCCAACCACTGAACAGCAGGTCCTCTTGACTATCGGTTTTCCCCGTCTGCTGTTCGTCACACCTAGGTGTGTAATAAAAAAGTCTCTTATTAGGCCAGAACGCTTGAAACGGTATGTATGCAGAGTTCGATTGTGCGCTCTGTGCTGACCATAGAGGTTCACTTTCTTCCCCCTCCCTGACCATTTTGAATTTTTCCACCTGCCGCGTATGCATTACGAGTTTGGCAGCGATCAGTGAAAGTTCTCTTCACTGTATTTCGCTGTACGATGATGAGGATAAAATAGGTTGCCACGGCGAGCGGTGTTTCTCGAGGCAGTTAGTGGGTGGAATAAAGCCAGGGGTAGTCAGCTAAGACCTGGAATGAGGGTATGGAGTCCCTAACCAGGAGTCTGGGTCACATAACTCCTGTTGGGCTCCTTAACTGGGGACGTCGAGACGATCGTAACCGATGGTTAGGGACACTGAGTGATATGGCTGGGTTTCGTAAACAATAGCTTCCGTGCATCTCAATTTATTAGAAACAATAATTCACTGCAGTTCTCAATTTTCTCTTCGATCATACTTCCTGTTTCCCTCCTACTGTTTCATCCAAATGGGCAACCAAAGGCTACTAACGTAAATGTATGCCTAATGGTGGTCCAACCTGAACTGAACTGAGATGCGCCAGGTGTGGTGCTTGCATCAAGTGCCCGGTGATGCAGGGAGTAGCATGCTCGCGCTCTGCTTGTGAGATCCCGTTTCTTCGTTGGATTCGCACTGCTGATGAGATTCGACCAGGTTGAAACAGCTGTCCACTTGTCTTTAGCTCTGTATTTATTTACACGAATTGATCATATAGTGCTTTCTCATTTTAATGTATCCATTGGGAGCTTCCTATAGACATTTTGCGTACTCAACTTCCTCTTTTGCTATTCATCACTCCTGCTTCCCGCGAAATTCGTGTTCTGCATGACCCATTCAGTTGCACATAATTGTTCGCTTTTCGTCGAAAAATTCCTCAAATGTGTTACCGAAAGTGAAATTTTCTTAATCATTATGCGCTTTTCAATGTGCAAAAGGATGAATAGAAATCTCCCTGTCGGATTATTCCATATTTTTTCAACCCTATAGCTTTTGCTAATTGGTGCTTTCTTACGACTCACTGGGGATTTGTTTAACTATACTTGTACTTCCTTGAAAACAAGTACACCGTTTGGCACTTACCTAGTACCTGCATCTTGAGCTAAAGGCCACCAGCATGATATTACCACTTTTAACCCTTGCACGTCTCCTTCGCAAACCCAGTAATTGACTTACTGTTCCTTCTTTCAAAGTGATAACCCAGTGGTCTAACATGTCGCGTGTACTCTGCGTACTTCCAACTTGTCGTCATTTTATGAGTCTATGGTAGCCATATGTCAAGCAGTAAACGTCACTGAAAGCTATGAACTACGAGAATTAAGTAAAAACGCAATCAACCCGTGTGACTAGACCTTCCTTCAATATGAAGTTGATCTGAGCAGCCAGACAGTATTGACGTAGTTGTCTTTCATATCATGTACATCTATAAATGCAGCGAAGGAACAATGGCCAGGTTTATGCTTCCAGGACACTTTGGTCACTAAACCTCGTGTTCGTTGGCGGTGGTTGCTGAGGCTCATGATTATTGTCTGTCAGCGATCGATTATGTTTGCTTCATTGAATGATGATGATTCATCAGAAAGTATATTTTCATGGATGGTGGACGTTTTTGCAGTGAATGTGGTTGTTGTGCTCGGTTCTAGTCTAGTTTATTTCCGATCACCTTTTTTATACAAATTTTAGGGCCGGGGTCGAGAAAAGTTCGAATGCATAACCTTCCACTACTCTTTGGGAGGAAATTGCCACACACTGTTTTAATGGGGTGTTACTGGCATCACCGTAATATGACACGGTTGCTGGTCTGAATTTTAGCCCCTTGTATCCGCTGCTGGTAACTTGACATCTGTCTATCATTTGGATTGCTTTGTTGGTCTGTTCCACAATATGCTGCAATCCGACTTTTAACGCAGCTTGCCTTGACAACACGTAGTTCCACCTGGATTCATACCATTTCTTTCGCATTGCACAGACATAACCCAAATTATTGGCTGTTTCCGCAATTCCGCGTTGGTTTCCTGTCATTCCTAATAAATAAATTGTAGAGAGAAAAGTTTTGATCTGATACTCACTGTGCATCTCAATAGCTTCTGTAAGTGCAGAATTCGCCAGGTCGCATCTTCTCATAATTGCTTGTGCAGTGCCAATATTTTGCAAAATAATGGCCTTGAAACGCGATGGTTGAGGTGGCAAGTAGTCGTAAGCTTGTTGGAAGAAATCCACGGCCTTAAGCGTAGATCCAGTGGTCATGTGTATGGTACCGATCCCGTTCAGAAAAATAGCTGTGGAAAAACGTGTATCAAATTAAATTGAAATTTCAGTGACCAATATACGTTCAGGACTGATATGTGGTAATAATGCGTGACTTCTCAATCAGTCGACTGTGCGGTAATCCGGTATGAGTTTTGGTTTTCGTTCCTGCTAAAAATTGTGTCACGTTAATTGTCTAATCCTTTAACTAATTTTTTCTCCACTAACTTCGTACGTGTAACCATGGCGTTGATATACGTGTGCTGTTGACATGCATTTGTGTGAAAAGAGATAAGTGAGCACATCTATGTTGTGTTCCACAGAAAGCTTATAATCATCATTGTATTTTCTCTGCATGGTTTGTTTGGGTTCATAGGAGATTATACGTATCCCCTGTTCAATTATATCTGTGGTTAATTGAAGGTTGTTGTCACCGCAATGTTCCCCCTTAAAAGCGGAGGACTCACACTAGAAGAATATGCAAGTGTTTTGCAATAACTTTAATTTTAAACCTCTGACCTTATCTTTTGGTTGTTGTTTTGGGTGGACTGAAATTCACCGTTGAAATGAAACATTCCTTCTTGATGTATTCGTTCATATCGAATATGTTCATTCTCCATATCGTCAAAAGAGTGTAGGGAATGGCCCTTTTTGATGGCTGGGGAAATAACTAATTGTGATTGAACACTTCAAATATTCTGACATGATAAGAAACAACTAGGTCACGATTGTCGGTTCGCAACTTTGCCGTCCACTGTCTTCAGTCAACTGATATTTGCAATTTTCGTTCCTCCACCAGAAAGATGAGACCTAATTTTATTTGATTTCTTCATGGCTCGTGTCCACGCGATCCGTTGGTTTCTACTTCATGTAATCTACCCCCGAGGCAGCATGTGCACAAAAAGCGCGATGTGATGGACAACTAGTGGGTATGCGCAAGACTTTCTAAGCAGCGAAGCCAACAAATGTGAATTCTAATTAATAACGGATTTTTCACTGGAGCGCACTCATGTACTTCACTGAATAAACCGAAAACATCCATATTTCGGTAAAATTCTTACAATTCCACCTATCCCTTGTTATTGTTATCATTCTTGTGGCTCTGGTACGATGCTTGTCTACAAGCTGGTTTTATATATATATTCCAAAAGGCGGTGCCGGTGCGAGGATAGTTATTTATTATGAATAGCTGTAACAGTGTCAGTAAATTAGCATAAAAATGTCTAATTTGCAACAGGTCTTCAGAATTCCCTCGCACACAGGATAGTTAATGGAACGGTCCGATGGTGAATGCGCATTTCTCATAGTTGACTTTTTGAACACAAGTTCATTTTTATCGTTGAGAGAAACAGTCAATCGTGTTCTTTTGCATCATCCCAGCATACTAGTTACAACCAGGTTTCTATTGAAAATAATTACAGAGGTTTGTCATTTCATTCAAAGTTATAAATAAGAGTTTTGCATTATTCATTGAAAGTAACTACGGATGAATCGAACTGCCTACTGGAACAAATGGCTGTGACAAACAAGCGAGTAAATTTTCCTAGACTACGTTTGCTTGATCCATACTCTAAGAGCTTTCTGACTAGTCGAAAATATATTCACAACTTTTATCAGTATTTCTCCATTCTATTCTTTATTCACTTGCTAAAGCCAAAACTCTTCATGTCATAAAGCTTCTTCACATTCATGAGTAGGCATTTCGTTAGTTACCGGCAACTGACCTTTCAGTTTAGAGGAAAACAGGGCTCTTATCGAGAGGATAGTTTCCGTCATCAGTTGGTTATCCCACTTTTGAGCAAAGACCTTGACAAGGAATTGTATACTATGCCATGCATACTTTTCAGCTTGTGTAATTTGATTCGTTTCTGCACAAAATTTCGCCGCCTGAAACCAGCTGTTGAATAACTGCCGGTCATCCGCTGAGGTTAATTCTCGAAGGTACGAGATACGAACCCAAATGGACGAGAGTAGCTCTGTTTGATCTTGTGTGAATTCGGAACTCGTTTCATTCAATGCAGAAATTGCTTTGTCCAAACAGTCAATTGCCCCTTGCCAATTTTCAAGTTGTTCGTATGCTGTGGCATAGTTTATGTGAAATTCTACTTGATTCTCCACTTTCGGTATGCAAAATTTCAGGAATTCACAAGCACTCTCTAGTTGATGAATTGCGTGTTCTGGCTGTGTTTGTATGAGTAATTGGACCGCATTTCTCATTGATTCGTTGTACTTATTTTGACCTTCTTTTATCACGTTTAATGTTTTGGAGGCAGTGGTTATGAGTGACCGTTCTTTAATCGTTGTGTGTTCCGGTAAATCACGTCCAGATACTTCTGTAACGCCGCATACTTGTGGGATGTAGCAGTTCACTTTATCCACACGGCAACAGCACATGGTTACAGAACACTAATCGATTGTGATTCACTTTTGATCATCGGAAACTCGCCGGATTTTCAATCTGTTCATTTATTCGTCCCGAACGCCTTCAGACCCCTGAAAAGAAAAAGTTCCGGTGATTCCCAGGTTCTGATACAGAATTCCGGGATTTGAAAATTCTTTTTTCCTCATGGATGCCAGGAGATGTTACACAGTTTGTCAATGATGGTTAAGCTATTAGTCACTCATGTGCATTCCTTGCTATTTTTAGGAGGATGCGCTTTCATCGCAACGATGTTCAATGAAATCCAAACTCGTCTTAGTAGATTTACGTTAATATTTTTATTTCCGAAACGGTTTTAGCAAGTTTTGTGCTTGGTACTGCCATTTGGAACAGCTGTACAGATAATATTTATCAATAATCTCTATACATGTGATTCCATCAGTGCATTTGTGTGTGGATTCGAAATAACCGTTTAACTTGCCGCTTCCGTTCAAGGTAAATTTATCGGACCAGTCGTAACTAATCAAGAGCTTTAAAATCTTGTACCGGAGTTAAGAAATTCCTTGCAATGGCTCGTGCATCAGAGTCCGATGTTCCAAAAATTAGTTTGAAGTATTCACGGTCTGACGATGGATTTCTGGGACTTGTGCTGCTACTACTNCTACTACTACTACTGAGACTCAACCAGATAGAAACAGCCGTGCGGTCCTTCTCAACTCTTCAGAGCACACTTCATCTGCTCTGTACACGAAGAAATTCACTCTATCAACGGTTATTCATATTTACGCCACCTGAAACAATGATTTCAAGACACTCGTGAAAGCTCGAACGAGCGATCGACTATGCATCAGTCACAAATTGTGATGTGGGAAACAAAACAATCCACAGATTTTCAAAATAAAATCACAGTCCCAATCACACTGAACGCTGACGAGTAACCACTAATTGGTGAACAATCCTCCCCCTTTCTTCCNATGTAAAATCTTCATATCCACGAGCACAAGTTGCATCAGTTCTCCACAAAAGTCCTGTTCTAACAGCTCCTTCTCCAAATAGCAGTTTCACTACTGCAAATGCAATCAGTAAGTAATGGTTGCAGATACTCAGCATGAAATGTTGAGTTGCTTAAACTTGGCTATGGTGCACATGCACACATTCTGACTGGGATCCGTTCGTGCGCGTATTCATCTTTGCACTGACTACAACACAGGCAACGGTAAGATATTCTAGGAATAGGTTAAGCAACATTTGACTGTGGTGTCGATTACAGAACAACAAACCGGTTCCCTTTTGGCCGAACGGTGAAATCTATTTTTGAATCGAGTGTTGCGGTTAGTGCACTTCAGCACACGCGGGTGAATCACGCAAGTCGTTTACCCTTCTCGGGTACGATGACAGTCAGACAGTGTCAAACTGATGNACTATAGTTGGGTGACGCATGAAATAGGTTATTGAATTTGAATACAGTTTGGCTGAATGCTAAAACACAATTCCATCAGAGTATGCTTGTGTTAAAAAGCTTCACAACGGAAACTACTAAAGTTGGTTGTTTCTCATGTGGACCAAAAGTAATAGCATCATGCTATGGACATGCATGGTGGTTGAAGTCATGACTGGTAACGGCTTCCCACTCTATCAATCTATGCAAACCAAACCGAATTTTTCGTTCGCTTCAGATTGGGGTTAGTGACAGCGGTCATATTGACCATTTGGCTGTAAGTAGGCGGGATGGCCATTAAGTGTAGGTTGCTTCCAGTTGAACAGAAAACATGTCGCTCATTTCCTTGAGTCTACTAAGGTACTTGTCTGTTTGGAATAAAACGGTTTTTCTATGATTAAGTACTTTCTAAGTGAGTTTAGATGCAGCCAGACTATTCGTCTTCCGAGAAAGTTCCGCACTGATCGAGTAAGCTTTATACAGGTGACTGGTTTCTGTCGTTCAGGTGAGAAAGCAGGCCATGATAAAATGAACTGAGGAACTAATCTGGATGCTCGGTCTTAAATGAGAATATTATTCTCCGTTTGTTTGGGTTCGGCCTAGACCATAAAGAAGGTAATTAATGAAATAGCCTTGTGGAGCCCTTGCCAGGGCCATCTACACTAAAAACCATATTGCGATCTCTGTATACTAATAGCTGAAGTCGAGTCCAAGCTTATGTCAGTTCCCAAACGGTCCCAGTTGAATTCTTATTTTCACTAATGCAGACAATCAGCAGCTAAAAATTACAAATCATTGGCTTAGCTTTTTGTTTGGCTTGAAACAAGCTTTGGTGTCAACTAGTCTGTCTCCGGTACAGCTCACTGCTATCTGCGTTTCACACGTACGCACGGATCGGTGGGAAACTGTGCGTGTGCGTTTATATATGGGAGCTACGTAGAAAATAACTAGCTGTTGTTTGTGCCTGCATTAGTGAAACTGAGAATACGACTTGGGCCGTTCGAGGCTCTGACTGTTCGGCGTACAAAAATTCCCAATGCATTTGTATATGGGAGCATTGGCTTCGCCGTATGACTTCACTGATTTAATCGAAGATCTTTATACATTGGAATACCGGTCGAATGTAGTACACGCTGAACTAAAAACATTTTTACTTTCGCTTTTCTTGCAAAATTATCTGAG